CAGCATTAAAGCTGTGTTTCTCGAGTTCATCCCCGTGTCTGTGAGTTTTGCATTTGGGTCCTCCTCCTGCTTGCCACACAGCGATCCATGACAGAGAACAAAACGCCCGCTCAGCAGGACCGACCATGTTCTATCAGAAACAGGTTTTTTTTTAGGTTTACTTATGTTGTTCTGTGCTTAGTTAGTATTAGTGTGTGTTTTTGTTTCCCCCTTTTGTGTGTAAATGGTTTGGCCAAACGACTATAAACCTACCCTCCTGTGTCTTTGTAATTAGTTTAGTTTGTGAGTTAAGTTGTGTCCACTTTGTTTGTTTAAGTTTCTGGAAGTTACTTTTCGTAGAGTTATATTTAGTTGACCTCTTTTATGGGCCCGCTAATTATGTTTTTGAATTTTGCCTTTTGAACTTTTTTAAGGGTTAAAATAAAGAAAACCAATTTTGAAGACATTTTTTCCTGTACCTTCTGTGCCTTGGCTGCTTGGTCCCTCACGGTGACATGTTATAAAAATATTAATAAGAACAAATGTGGAGTTTGGCAAAACAATTAATTTAACTTCTTACGTTCAGATATCCTCTTAGATGTTAATCCTAAAGTGCTCCTGAGCCTGCACCTCTTCAACTTGCCTGTTTTATTAGACCGGGCATATTCACAGCTGACGTCCTCTCTCCATCATTGTCAATGTTTGTCGTGCTGATAACTAAAGAAGTTATTGACAATTTTTTCAAGCTACATCTTCTTTGCATGATATTGGCCAAATATCGATAGCATCAATACCAACACTATTATCAGTATCTAACTGACACTAACGCAATTGTATTGATACTTTGTTTCTGTTCTCAAATTCTAGTATGTATCCAATTGAACTGTGTTAAATACATTTTATTATAATTTTCATTTAAAAAATACACCTCAAATTTGCACATTGAAAATTTTCTGAACCCTTTTCTGTTGACTGTCACGTTGATTCATTATTATGGAGCGCCAGGACTGCCATAATGAATTAATTAAATACACCATTAAATAATTAA